CACTACCTCACCCCACTCCAGTATACACTTTAGTCCTCATCCCACCTCCCAAATACAGCCCTACACTACGTCACCTTCACACCCTAAGACCATTTCTTCAGTCTCAAACCATCCTTTAGCTGAGACCCTTCCTGTAACTCCAAACCGAGTTCATGCAGACACCAATCCCAGTCCTAGTTTATCTCCCACGACCGCCTCTTAGACACCACCTAGTAATCTTTCCTCTCCTACTTCACCATCCTCTAGTCCGCCTCCCGCTATTAATATACATCACATGCGTACTCGTGCCAAAGATGGTATTTTTCAGCCTAAAACAATTTTTTATTTGAGTGCTTTTTCGCCCCCGGATGATCTTAGTTGTTTTTCACAAGCTCAAAAATTTTCTGTTTGGCGTGCGGAAATGGCTGATGAATTTAATTCTTTAATTGCCAATAAAACATGGGACTTGGTACCTTGGGATAGCACGAAAAATGTAGTTGGTTGTAAGTGGGTTTACAAGACTAAATTTAATTCTGATGAGTCTATTGAGCGCCACAAAGCGCGTTTGGTTGCCCAAGGTTTTAAACAGCAAGCTGACGTCGATTTCACTGAAACTTTTAGTCCTGTTGTTAAACCTACCACTGTTCGTCTTGTCTTATCTGTTGCTGTTGCTCTTGGTTGGTGTATATGTCAATTAGACGTCAAAAATGTTAGGAATTAAATTCACGCACACGAAAAACAATAACGAAGAACACACGAAATTTGGTAACCCAGTTCGCCACGAATGACTACGTCTGGGGGCGCTACCAAGCCAGGAATATTATTGCTATTTTCGGATCCACACACAGATTACAAGGGAGAGAGCTTGTATTTATAGAAAAGTAAATCCTAACCCCAAGGCAACTAGGATGTGTTTCCTAAAATAAATTTAAGAAACGTGTTTCCAAAAATAAATTAAGAAACTGTCTCTAACACCTTACAATCTCCCACCTAGAGACTATCTTCTTCAAACCTCCCTTGTAAGCATGGTAGCACCGGCCTTCATCTTCAAGTACCCTGGCCAATTGAAGCTATGCAAAGCTTCAATTTCTCCAAGGTTACCGCCTTAGTAAACATGTCTGCTGGATTCTCACTCCCACGGATCTTCACAAGCTGCAATGCCTCTATCTCCAGAAGATGGCGGATGTAGTGATACTTCAACCGAATGTGTTTGGTTCTTTTGTGAAAAGCTGAGTTGTTGGCCAAGAATATAGCACTTTGACTGTCACTGTAAAGAATGCTATTCTTGTACTCCTTCCCAAGTTCCCCAAGTAAATTCTGAAGCCACACCATCTCCTTACTTGCCTCCGTAATGACCACCAGATTTCTGACTTCATCGAATTTCAGTTTCTCTTTCCCTGCCGAAGCGCTGACTGCAGTCACCGTTCCGTTCCAGCTTTCTGGGAGAGAAGATAGCAGAATAAGGGCATGGATTTCGTCGTCGAATGTTATCTCAACCGCGCTCAACTGTGTGGTGATCACATTGAACTCGTTGAGATGATCCACCACTCCCGTACCTTCTGACATCTTCAGGTTAAAAAGACGCCTCATCAGATGAACTTTGTTCACAGCGGAAGGTTTCTCGTACATATCCGACAAAACCTGCAACATCTCTTTCGTCGTTTTTGCTTTGACGGTGTGTAGGACGATGTTTCTAGACAACGATAATCGAACCACGCTCATCGCTTTTCTGTCCAACAACTTCCAATCGCTCTCCTTCATGTCTCCCGGCTTATCATCTAGAGGTTGATACAGATCTTTACCGTACAGGTAATCTTCGATCTGCAACTTCCAGAATCCGTAATCCGTTCCGTCAAACTGCATCACCGGTGTCTTCAAATTGTCTGCCATCGTGAGATCTCCCTTCGAACCTAGGGCTCTGATGCCAATTAGAATTAAATTCACGCACACGAAAAACAATAACGAAGAACACATGAAATTTGGTAAACCAGTTCGCCACGAATGACTACGTCTGGGGGCGCTACCAAGCCAGAAATATTATTGCTATTTTCGGATCCACACACAGATTACAAGGGAGAGAGCTTGTATTTATAGAGAAGTAAATCCTAACCCCAAGGCAACTAGGATGTGTTTCCAAAAATAAATTTAAGAAACGTGTTTCCAAAAATAAATTAAGAAACTGTCTCTAACACCTTACAAAAAATGCTTTTCTTCATGGTCATCTCACAGAAGAAGTCTTCATGCGTCAGCCCCCGGGCTTTATTCACCCATGTTTTCCTCATCACGTCTGTCGCCTTACAAAGGTTCTCTATGGTCTTAAACAAGCTCCTCGAGCTTGGTTTCACAGATTTAGTGGCTTTCTTTTATCCCGGGGATTTTCTCAAAGTAAGTCTGACTCTTCTATGTTTGTTTTTCGCACTCAGTCACAGGTTGTTTATATTCTTCTCTATGTGGACGATATTTTAATCACTGGATCTTCGGTTGATCTTGTTCATTCGATTATTCATTCTCTATCTACTCAGTTTGCTATGAAGGACTTAGGGGACATTCATTTTTTTCTGGGCCTTCAAACCAAACGCACGTCTCAGGGTCTGTTTATATCTCAGCATAAATACATATCTGATTTATTACGTCGTTTCCACCTCCATACTGTCAAACCTGTGCGTACTCCTTTACCGTCTCGTACTACACTTTCTCTTACAGATGGAGAACTTCTCACTGATGCTACTGAGTATCGCAGTATGGTAGGTGCGCTACAGTACTTGACTTTGACTAGACCAAATATTACTTATGCTGTACACTTAGTTTCCCAGTTTATGCATGCACCTTGTACTACTCATCTTTTGGCTGTGAAACGTATTTACAGATATTTGCAGGGCACTATAGACTACGGTCTATGGCTTCATTCCAACCGTGATATTTCTCTTATTGTTGCCTATTCAGATGCGGATTGGGCTGGTTGTCCAGACAGTAGTCGCTCCACTACTGTTATGCTATTTTTTGGGGCCCAACTTAATTTCTTGGCGATCCAAAAAGCAACCTACTGTCTCAAAGTCTTCTACCGAAGCGGAATATAGAGCCATTGCATATACTGTTCAGGATACTTTATTTATTCGATACCTGATGGCCGAGATGGGTCTCCACATTTCTTCTCCAGTTCAGTTACACTGCGACAATGTCTCTGCATCCTATCTAGATGTGAATCCTATTCAACGTGATCTCTCCACATTCCCACTCAGTTATAGTTAGCTGATATTTTTACTAAAAATTTATCTAGTCAGCGTTTTGAGTTTTTTTTTTGCACAACGAAATCTTAAGTATTATTAATGAAGTCATGGCTTAAAGCCTGCATAATACAAGTAGGAGGAATCGAGAGCCACACATGGCTGTCAGACAAAGAAACGGCTGCTCGAGCAAGAGTGTGAGCAACACGATTCGCAGACCGCCGTATAAAAGCAATAGAAATGCTATTAAAATCTTTCATTAAATCTCTAACATCTTCCACTATCAAGCCAAACTGAGCAACACCACCTCCGTTATAAATAGCAGAGACAACTTGAGAAGCATCAGACTCGATGTCCACACAATCCCAACGGTTCTCCTTCAGCCAGCTCAACGCCTCACGAACCCCTAAAATTTCGGCTTCTTTGGGTGAAATATTCCCTTCCCAAGGCTTAGCACCAGCAGCCACAAACTGACCCGCTGCATCCCTCACCACCCACGCTAGTCCCCGCTTTCCATCCATCCCGGTAGCCGCATCAACGTTGACCTTCATTCGGCCCTCCACGGGTTTTTTCCATACCTCCGCAGCCCTCCTTTCAGTCCGGTTCAAGCACTCCCTGCCTTGTTCTTGCGCTGCACGCCACCCAAATAGAACAGATCTCGCTACAGCAATGATTTGATCAACTCCACAAGCTTCAGCATGCCAAACCATCCTATTCCGTCCCTGCCATAAACTCCAACAATACATCACAAATTCACAGCATTGGTCCTCATTTTTAGAAGAGAAAAATCTCTCTGTCCACTCCAAAAAACTACCCCCAGTTACATTATTTTCACCCCAGCCCACTTTCCTCCATAATTCAATTGCCATGTTACATGAAACAAATAGATGTGTACAAGATTCTAGCTGCCCACACCCAAAAACACACTGGTTTGGCACATCAACCCTCCGCTCCCTAAGTTTGTCCGCTGTTGGAATATTGCCTGCACATAATAGCCAAAAAAAGATTTTGACCTTGGGAGGAATATAGAAGTTCCAAACTCTGGTCCATCCCAACCAGCCCCCGGGCTCAAATTCACCCACCAAATATCTATAGCAACTCTTCACAGAAAAACATCCGCTAGACTCCCAGGCCCAAACAACCCGATCCGGAGTCGTTCTTTTACTAAGAGGAATGCACTTAACTAAGTTCCTGTCCCGAGGATCAAACAGATCCTGCAGCAAGTCACTATCCCAACGACGATCTCCTGGACAAAACAAACCATCAACACAGGCCTGCTCCAACCCAATCACTGGGGCAGAATGTATTGTCAGCGTTTTGAGTTTTTACGTTCCAATCTGCGCGTTGTTTCCCCTGCACAGATTGAGGGGGTGTAATAGATAGAAATATTGCGACTTATTTGTAATTCTCATCTTTCATGGGGAGGGTTCTAGTGAGAACCCCTCTTAAAATGAGAATCCGTGAGAACCCCTAAGAACCGGTGGTATTTTTGGCTGAATTTTTTTGTGTATTTTCCTCATCAAGTCTAGTTCATCCATACCAAATTTGAGCAAAAAATTCAACCGGGAAGGTCGTCAAATGATTTTTGAAAGAAAACTGTGTTTTATATGTATATTCCGGATCAGTTTTCTTTCAAAAATCATTTGACGACCTTCCCGGTTGAATTTTTTGCTCAAATTTGGTATGGATGAACTAGACTTGATGAGGAACATACACAAAAAATTTCAGCCAAAATTACCACCGATTCTCAGGAGTCCTCACGGGTTCTCATTTTAAGAGGAGCTCTCACCTAGTCACCGGAACCATCCCCATCTTTCATTTGTTTAGTATAAATACCATCAGGTCAACCCTTTTTGGGAAGCCATTAATCATAATACTGCATATTAACAACGCACCACGCCTTCCCGCCGCCAACAATCTCAAGCTGGGAGTGAAGCATACGCCGCAGCTGAGCATAGAAAGGTAGAAGACGACCGCCGTCCGCCGACCTGGAGTCCGGGACACTGGAGATTCGGAGACGCCGACGCAGCGCAAAGAGAGAAGCCAGCAGCCAGTCCGGGACACCACCCTTTTCCAACTCCAATTATCTATGCAATTTTAAGGTTTTATATCTAATCATAATTTATAAAACAATTTACTAATTTGTAACTGGTTCGTGATTTGTGTTACTCTGTTCCTAATAAATTAAATGCGTGTAAGTTTATAACGTGTTTAAGAATTTTTGTTTAATCCGGTTAGAAAATTGAATGTGTCGTCTCTAGTAGTATAATTTATTTTTAATTTGGTAAATATAGAACTAATGGTTAATGCGTACATGAGGTAAATCGGTAATGACAATCTAATGGATACATTGAATTGATTATTCAAAATTTTGGCTGTAGGTGTATGACTTGATATCATATCTGATTATTACTGCTATTATTTATTAAATTTACTAGTTATAATTATTTATTAAAATATTACATATTTTGATATTATAGTAAATATTAAATTATTATTTTCAATGTTTGATGCACCATATTTGCAGTAGTTTTGTTGTAATAAATTTTGTGATGCACTTGAACTTAATTTAGTTACTAAATTTATATTTGAGAATTTTTTTAGTCAAAATCCGGCTCACCCCTTTATATTGTCGCTCCGCCCTCTGGATCTGAACTGGTCTGGTCTGATATACATTTGGTTTATATGTATTTTATAGCTGTCGAAGTATGGTGTGGTCTATTTTGATCTGTTTAAATCTAATCCGATCATGTCTGATATGTTTAAGTAGGGTGTGGTCTGTTTTATAGCCTCTAATAGAGCCCTACTTCCACCTCCTCAAGTGAGCTCTACCGAGAGAGAGAGGAAAAGCCTCTCATCCTATCGTAGAAGCTTATTGAGCATATAAGCACACCCATTCTATTCCATCTTAGTGCTTTCAGTTGGGCCGCCCCAAAAATCAATTACCTTAGCTGTTCCAATCTATGAACGAGGCTTGCGAGGCAGGGAACACTTTACTGGTTTACTCCTCAGTCTGCCCGAACAGCAAATCCATATAGTTCATATTTACTAAGGAGGTTAGAATTTTGCCTTTTCTAAAACACTCTTTGTCAACACCATCAGGTTACTCTAGTCTGTATGAATCATATTTTAAACATTCATGAAAGTATTGAAAAGTTCCGCTTCTAAAATGATCGGTGGAATTCCTAAAAAATGCAAAAATCAGTTTTGTTGTTAATTTACATAATATTAAACTGTTACAATAAAAACGGATGTTAACTAATCCTTGTTAATATTAATTTTGTATTAGATTGTTGTACTCAAAAAATATAAATTTAAACTTAAAAATGGAAAGATGCAGAAGTGCAGAACAAATTGTCATTTTTGCCTTTTTGGTGGTTGTATACTTGTATGGTTTGGTCATTTTGTAACATCAACTTAAAGCTTAAATTTTATTAAGATGCCCAGTATTCTTTTGTGTGTTAGTACTTTGGTGTATTTGAGTGTGAAAAACAGGTTAAAAAATCATTGATAGGGGTTTTAATTTTTAGAGAAATAGGGATAGGGTAAACGTGGTCTATTTTGTCTCTGCAATTCATTCGATCAAACTGTCCAAACAGGAAACCGACCAAACCGACATGTTTCAGTCTGAAAACCGACTGACCAAAGACTCTTCGGTTCGGTCATCCGTTCTCCATTTCCGAACAGACAAATAAAAACCAACCAAAACCGACTGAAAATGACTGAACTAATGCGACAAACACACATAAGTATTCACTACATCTATGTCATATGTACTTACATAGTTACATAGTATTTAGCAGGAGCCCAGCGCTGAGGCTCTAGGACATAAGAAAACAAATGAGGTTATGGAAAGTTTAGGCAGAACATAGCTGATTGGCCTCGCTGTCCATCCCAGTCGCCAAAACTTAAGAGCCGCGGAGGAAGAGAACCGCAGTCACCGAACCTGAAAATCCGCCTTTGCTGCCTGAGATATGCAGTATGAAAGGGGTGGGTTTGCCGATAGGGTTTTCAATCTGATTAAAAATTAGGGTGAATTGGAAAGAACCAACTGGACTGAACTCTATTGGAAGGAAAAAAAAGTGGAGGGAATTTTAGGTTTAAGGGGGAATTGGCAAAATGATAGTATACAAATAAATGCAATATTTTTAAATTTAGTCTCATTAATTTATTACTTTTATTTTGATGTCGCGGTGTCAATGTTGTCATAAGTCAGTGACAAATATGTGTTAATAACAACTTATGTTATTCATTTTTAATAACATGTGCATCATTGTGTGTAAATTTCAACAAAAAAGTTTGTGCCCTTCTAGCCGTTTCTAAAGTTTGTGCAAGATAATGGTAGAAGGTGACATGGTTAATGATTTATAAGACTCTTTTCTACATTCCCTATTATCAATATGAAACTTATGTATACATATGTTACAGGGAAGGGCATGTGCATGTGTTTTGCTGGTGTTCAATTGGTATGTTATTCAAAATGCAAATGTTTTAACGTCCTGAAGGAGTTCATCACTTCTTCACACTCTTACCACTGTAAAAGACTACTTAGCTGTTCTGTTAATCATTTGGAGAACTATCGTTCTATTGTTGAATCAAGTAGCTTACAGAACCGGTTCAAGAATTGGCAACATTTAAGAAAGGGAAAACTCACTGCAAGCACTTTCAGCCAGGCTATTGGTTTTTGGCCCCATCGAAGGGTTCAGCTTTGGAAAGAGAAAATTGGTCATATTGAACCATTCTATGGGAACTTTGCCACCTGCTGGAGCAACATTAAGGAGGAAGAAGCTCTTGAGAGTTATAAGCTTATCACTGGAAATTATGACGTATCCATGGTTAGTTTTCAGGTTCGTCAAAGCACTAATCCAGAAGAAGATGAATGGCTTGCAGCTTCCCCTGATGGAGTAATTAATGGATTTGGCAATGGTTTGCCTTCCTCAGGGGTTTTGGAAATAAAGTGCCCATACTTCGGTGGTGATATGTCCGTAGCGCGGCCTTTTAGTAGAATACCCCTTTATTACATCCCTCAAGCACAAGGTTTAATGGAGATTCTGAATCTAGATTGGTTGCACCTATATATCTGGACTACCAAAGGGAGTAGCCTTTTTATTGTGTATCGAGATAAAAAGTATTGGGAAGACATGGAAAAAATACTGTCTGACTTTTGGTGGAATTATGTTCAACCTGCTAAAAAAATGTACGATCTTTCAAGTATCAGAAATCCCTTGGAGGAACTAAAACCACTAGGACTATTTCCAGGACACAGACACGATTCGTGTGGCAAACTTGTCTGTGAAAGCAGCCGTATTGCCCTTAATGACTCTAAATTGCTCCTACTTGAGATTGATGGTAAAGTTGCAATTATGTGATGCTCCCTTTTGATTAGTGAAGTCCTTTGAACTGGATTATTTGATCCAGAAAGTTGACGGAAGACTTTTGGTCTTCTACATATTTGCTGACGATCAAGGGTAACTCTCTTGAACTCAAAGAGATAATCTTCGGTTCTAGTTATATTTTTATGAACTAGACTGGCTTCTTTTGGATGATCAAGGGCAACGCTGAAATTGTCTGGCTTCATAAGAGCCATATTCTTCTTAAATATTTGGGTTTCTGGTAAGATAAAGATGACCCATCTTTTGTCACATATTAATGGCAGGAGCTAATTCCTTATTACAACACCAATATTTGAGAAATTCTGGATTGTATCATATGTAAAAATGAAGTGTGTGGGCACCATAATTATAGAAGAATCTTGCTACAAAATACAAATAGTCGAGACTTGCTTATATTCTCTGAGGGTTCAAACAGAAATCAATGCCGAAACGAATCTGCTTCAGCTCTACAAATCACATTGCCTATTAAGGTATCACATAATTCAATATGCAGCGCTGATACAATTAAACATGTCTTTTAAAATCAAAATTGGTTCTGTCTATAGAAATGTTCGACGCTGATGTATGCTTTGTATACCATATATATGTTGTGAATATCAATTAGGCATTCAATATTATGTGCATGGATTTTGCGTATGCTTACTTCAACTTTTGCAGTATTGTTATTTTCAAATTGCAGATGAATATGATCTATGAATGGTTTCATTGATTTTTTTAGCTAATTCTCATTTATTGCTAGTAGAGGGTTGTTTTTGCATCTTCAAACCAACATTGGTCTGTGCTATGGCATATCCTTGTTATTTTTGTAGGAATTAATCAGACAAGTACAAGTCCCCCTCACATCAAGCAAAGCTAGTGGTCTCAGATCTTTGTTCCAGGTCAGTGCTTCTGCCTGCTGTGTCCACACCAATAAGCGAAGAGAGAGATAAACAGAGGCTGGAGAGTTTGAGATGGGATTATGGTGAATTTCTGTGTGGCAATATAGGGCGTCGACCGGAGTGGTGGTGGACGGGTGGCATCTATCAATTTATTCTTTATCAGTGTGTAAGCTTACTCTTCCCTTTTCAGTGACCACTCGTATCACCCATACCTGGTTTTGTTGCCTTCTTCAACTGTTGGCAGATCAAAATACATGTGCACTGTTACTTCGTCCAACTGTTATTCGATTATTTCCCTGGACTACAACCATATTATCCATAGCAGGCACAGCGGTCTACACGCCAAACTATTGTCACTCATCGAGCAATTGCTACCAGCCCTCCATTGATGTCCAAAGTTACTTCGTCTCCATCCCAATAAGTAAGTGCTGCAATTGTTTTATGAAGCCTATACCAAGTTTATTGTCCAATGCAGCAATGATATCCCATCACAATTTCTACCGGTGTACATTTTCCTGGTAGATGATAGCTTTTAAATGTTTTTTTATTGTTTTTATTTTAACACCGTTGAGTTTTTGGTTGATTTCCTATGGTCAATTATAACTTGTAGACTATATCAATGATAACTTCTATTCTAGTTATCAGATATATATGTTGCATTTATTCTTTTTCTTGGATGTGAACTGTGCACACCTTTTACTCATAATTTTCACTTTATGACCAACATTATGGTTCACAACTTCACACACAAAAACTTTTCCTTTTCACTAGATTTTTGAAGCATGTATCAAGATTTCAAGAGGAATTTTATGATGCCCTGTTATGTTCTGCACAAATTTATTTGTGCACCTCAAACCAAAATCAATTTTACGATGCCCACATATGGATAATGGATTGGGTGTTATGTCTTGTTTCTAGTTTTTGTCTTTCACTTGTTGCGTATAAGAATATCTAAAAGCAACTCTGACAAACTAAATGTATACGGAGACACGGGTTTTTCATGAATGTTCAGTCCCATTATGCTTCTACGTTACCAACTTCCTGTGGATGTGTAGTCTTTGGATAACCAACCTATTGCCCATTCTGGTTTGGTTCCTGGTCACATATCCTCCCATCACAATTCTGGTCATACCCAGTGTTGCTCCCAAATCGGTATAAGAAACCACCCCTAATTTGGATAGATCGCATATATCTTCTCCCCAAACATAGGCCACGGTCCTGTTCGGTTCTTAGGCAAAACACATTGAACCATTAAAATCTCAACTTTTTAATCTAAGTTTGGTTCTTAGAAATTATTTGTATGACTGGTATGGAACCAAACCAAACTTGAACGATTTGATTCTAATCATTTTTCAGTTTCAAATTTTTTCAAAATTCCCTACAAATTAGTGCTAAATTTGTGTCATAAAGACATTCAACATGTGAAATTACAAGAAATGCAATTACATGCAAGATTAATATAATTTCAAATTTAAAAAAGTTTAATTCCAAATATAAGTACATAACAAATTAATGATTTTAGTAAACGAAGCAAAAAACATTCGCTACAAGTACAAGAGAATTAGTTAAATACTTATCAAGTTAACTAATTATTAAACTAAATTAGTGAGTTTAATATATAAATAAATATACACACGCACTAATAAGTAGTATGTAAAAACTTATGTAACGGTTCCATATACATATTTTTTTATAGAAACCGAGAAATGAACCAAAAAATAAGAATCAAACCATTAATAAATAACTAATTAATGTTGTGACCGAACCAAATAGGGTCATAACATTTCGGCCCAGTTCGTTTGCCTGTTTTGGGTTCCAAAGTCCCACCCCTACCCAAACATACTTATCACTTAGGGGAGGGGTAATAGTATTCCGTTGCTAAGAGTCTGTCTAAGAGTAAGCATTATGGTAACTATAATTAAAACATGGATTATATATTTATCCTCACCCTCCCTATATTCCTCATTTTACAAGAATATAAGAATAGTTTTCTCCTAAAATATACCTGAAAATACTAAGAATATTTTCAGGTAAAATATGTCATTATTTCCATACGAATGGCTAAAATAAGTTAGATAAAGTTTAATATAAAATAAGTTGTGGGAGTGACATAATGTTTAATACGGAGTACTTGGTTTGACACCATGCACAAGATGTAAACGGGTGAACTTCCACTATGTTAAATGTTGTCCACCCTTTGTTCCCAAAAAGCTCCTGTATAAGGAGAGCATATAACATCAATATTTCACTCCTTTTAACTCCAAACTACTGTTGTAGCCTAGGCCCTAGCCAACATTCAGGGGTTTAATGTCTCTGCTGCGCATGTATGCCAAGAACTGCCCTGGAAGCTCTTCTAATAAGGCCTGCACCACTGAAATCTGACCAGCTGCGCACGACATACCGTGTTAAGTTGTATAAACTCACTGCCTCTAAAAAAGGAAACAGATAAAGAACCAACTGAACTGGAATGATGCTTGTTTTCTGATCCAGAAATAAACCGGTTCCATTTTTTATTAAATAGGCTGTAAACTGGAGTTGGAACCGGTTTACCCAGTTAAAATTGCGGTTCCATCCTTATCTGGAACCAGTAGGAGGGTGCATTATTGGCTTGATGAAAGGCCAACAAATCTACAACCCATCTGTGAGTGGGACTACAAGTGAATATTTTGATGCTGCAGAGAGATGTTTCATCTAGATGCACTTACCAAGCACTTCGCGCATGGGAATGAACTGCACAATGTCTCTTGTAGCTACCCTTCCCGTGGAGCTCTCGAGTCGTTTTCCATTATCAGCATCAAGAATCTATCATTTCATATGAAAAACACAAATACCATAACTTTTGTTTTTTCTAAGTAGATAAAATATCTGCATTTGAGAGTTCCGAGAAATACAAAGACTATGTGTACCTCCATTTGTGTAAAATCTGCATTGCCAACTCCGATGACAAGAATTGAAAGTGGTAGGTCAGATGCCCTTACAATAGCATTTATAGTTTCTTGAAGATCAGTTAGAACTCCATCCTATTAGATGAAAAACGTAACACAGGTATATAGGTATTAGATTAACAAAAGCAGAAAAAACATGACGGTTTTGCTGGTAGTGGATGGTTTGAAAGCAGACTGATTGCCCCCCCCCCACTGCATACCGTGATAATTAGCAAGGCGAAATATTTGTTTTGGGTGTTCTTGAGGGACTGAGCTGCAATATTTGCGGCACTGTTAATAACATGGCTAAACAAGGTGGGTCCAGAAAGAGTTACATTGTGCATAGCACTTGAGTAAGCGTTCATTATCCCTTCTACACCTTGAACCTGTGGAAAGAAAATCGTGCAAAAGCTCAATGCATGAAACAGTTTATGCAAAAGTTCTTACTAAAATGATCCTAAAACGTAGACTTCAAACTGCACAAATCAGGTTTTGCTGTCTCCCATAAAACTATTAGCATTCGGATTAAAATCTAGGTAATTTAGCTCAACTGTGATGGAACTGGTATCATGACATTTATGAATTATGATTCATAGTATGATTAATTGTTTAATGGTTTTTTTATTTGCATAACAACCAATTTGGTTTTTTGTCTTAAAGGAGAAAGATAAAATAAATGTATTCATAAGGTCGAAGACAAGGATAGCAAGAAGTTGAATTACTGAAATGCATTAAACATTTGCATGAAGATAAAGGGAATGGAAATTGGGAAATTTGTATTCTCTAATCTCATAGAATAGGCACTTTTACCTCGGGTGCACTTGGATTTCCATTTAAACTGAAACAATGAGACACTGATCCAGGATTTGTCATTCCACCAAACCCCCAAGCAGGAAAACATCTATCAGAATCATAGAATTGTATAACCTCTCCCACCTCCATTATGGCCTGAAGTAATTCCGGCAGGTAATAAATTTATGTCCACCAATAAAAAGTTCCCATTACATCGAAATGATAACAGTTTATTATGAAGATGAAATCCCGCTTACCCTCTGGTAAGAGTTTAAGTTTCCTGAAGGATCAATATAATGTAGAGAATAGGGTGTCTGAGGGTTTCCATTTGAAGCTGGGGATGTAAAGTTGGATCAAAGAACTCTTATAGAACACCACATAACACAAAAACATTAAAAGATTTTATGTATGTATGTGTGTATGTACATATGTATGTATTATGCGTGTACTTGTGTATGTACGTTTGAAGGTATGTGCATGTATGCATGTGTGTATGTGTGCATTTACAATATTGACACACATGAAAGGCAATACCAGTAAAATCAACAGCAACCATAAAGTTGAGCTCAAATCCACTAGAAATGTAATCAAGAAAGCTGTAGAGTTTCTTCTCAGTAAAATTTTCCACAAACAGTTGACCCTTCAAAAGCTGAACATTTAACAGTGGTGAGTCAGATACTACAGTCAAGGCAAAGACTCTACAAGTAAAAGAAAAAAGGCAGATGTAATTAAAACCTTTTCTTGTTTCCTGAAACCAGAAGGCAGTGAGATAAGATTAGCTCCAGCTTTACTGTTGTGAAGATCTTGAAGCTCTGCCACTGTCTTGTGCAATTTTCTGCATGGTGTGAGAAGTATACCATGAATACTAAAAATCAAAGGGATCAGGAAAAGTTTTTGGACCAAGAAAAAAGCCCGCTGATGTTCGAGACACTACATACCCAATGAGGATGTGATTGCCACTTCTGTTGAAGTCAAAGCACTCAATGGTTAGAAGGTTATCCTACAACAAATATAAACCTTATGAACTACAACTTGAAGTGGATAAGGGGAGCACCAATTAGCAGAATGTACATAATTAAGTAGCAACGTAGCAATTGTCAAAAAAAAAAAAAGTAGCAACGTAGCATTCATTTTGTTATCTCAAGATGGCTTCAAATTTTACCTAATAGGCTAATAGTAAACGCACAGGGTTGACTATATGACATGTCTCGTGGGTAACAAGCTCACACAAAATTTTGAACTAGATCTCAAGACGAGAAAGAAAGCCTTTACAAGTAGAATAACTACATATTCATACACACATAATTCTAGAATCTGAAAAGAAACAAATGTGGTTTGTTTGTTTGTTTGTTGGGAACTATGGTTTGAGGCAGCCAGTTTGGGTCAGTTTGGCCCATTTATCAGTTTGGACTGAATGTCTGAATGGACATCTTAAAGTGTCATACATCGGACGTTTTACGGATCTGTGTCTATTGTATAAGAATATGAGGTAAACCACACCTCATGAGGATCGTTTTATGGTGAGATAGATGCAATTTAATACTCAGAAGAGCGACATGTACCTTGTTCACATATTGTTGCAGAGATAAACTCACTGGCTTCCATATGGGGTTTAAGTTGTTGTTGAGAACTTCTGTCTTGCATATAGGAATAGAACTTCCGCCTTCAACAGTCCTAGATATTCTCAAGAAAGGATCCTAAAATATTAAAACAGAAATAATAATAAAGCGAGATAAGAAAGGGCACCATACCCAATGTTCCTTTTTCGCATTGGGGGTCTAGTATATAGTAAGTCATGCTCATCAAATTAAGGCTACAAATAATAGAAAACTGAATTCCATCTCATGCGTACACTTTTGGAGAATATGTCCTTCTTTTCGAGATTTGTACACCTTAGTGTTAACTCCACTGCACTCCTCGAAACAACTGTTTCTTCTGCATGGATTGTAAGCGTGCCCAAG